TTATATGTTTATGAAACACGTCGAAATAAAAAAAAATTATAATACTATGAACTATGATCCATTCCCTATGGCCTAGTACACGCCGGGCGAGAAAAATACAAGTAAAATTCCACAGTGTAAGTGAGAATGGCTTTTTCGATTATTACGGCAAAAATTATGTATCGTGCATCTGAACTTAACGGCTGAAAGTGCCATACAACCGGTCGGATCGATTACAATAATATAATTAGAGAGTCATTTTTCGGCCATCACCACACGGCTTTATCGTTGCCATAATTTGAGCTTCGTCCAACGCTCAATAATTGGCCTATTACAGCAGATGATTCGAAGTGAGCATATTGATAAGTGGTAAACGATAAGCACACAAATGCACAATTTAAAATCCCAACACTTCAAAATACGTACCTAATCTGCAGTCCAGTGATCGGCCTGGCAAACTTTTTGTTTAAGGTCTCGTACATTTTTTTGCTTGGCTTGTTCCTGGTCTATGTATAGAGATAGTATAGATCTAGATAAATATAATGTTTTATAATATTTCTATACTTGTTTAGTAAATTAAATTTTACAGTTTTACAATTCATGTTAAATATAATACAATAGTATAATATTAAATGTAATTATTAATGTAAACGATTTAACCAGACCATGGGTACATAGTACATACATGGATATTTTAGATAGTATTGAATGGATCTATTTTCATGCTTCTAGGTCCAGGCCATTTTAATCGGTGCAAAATAGCTTTTTCTTTTCATTTATAGGTATTCTATATTAGAATAAAGAAAACCCTGGTGGTAATTTATCATGGTGGAAAAACTTCACGAGTACCAAGGCCCGATTGGTATTTTACATACCTGGAGGGATTCGTTAAGAGATAAATGGGAAGGGTGGAAGGAAAAACGTCCTCGAACACTTTTGGAGCTCTTGCAATCATTAGGTTTGGCTGAAAGTCCAGAAAACCAAAAAGAGGACGAATGTCCACCTGAAGTTGATATGGAACAGTATTCTCACATATTTAGGTGAGTCCAATAATATCCATTGATAATCACGAGAAAAGTACTAATAATTATAATATGGGGGAGAGGGGTATAAAACAAATAGCTCAGCATTTTTAATTTATAATATTAAAATCATTTTAACCATTACACGTGATGTAGAAAAAAGACTAGAAGTGAACTTGTACGCATATCCGCTGCTGTGATGGGAATTGAATTTTCGTATGCAGCAGAAACAGCATTCGTATCTCCAACACTTTTGAACATTGGAGTCGACCATCAACATATGAGTCTTGTATGGGCTGTATCTCCTTGCATTGGATTTTTCGTCACGCCCATATTAGGATCTTTAAGTGACAGGTGTAAACTCCCGTTGGGACGGCGCAGACCATTTCTCATAATGCTAGCTTGTGGGGTATTTTTAGGTAAGCTACATAAAACAAATTATTTCTCGCACAAATAGGTACCTATAATATCTAGATTAATACAATTATTTTTATATTTTTTTTTATAGGCCTAATATTGGTGCCAAATGGAAAATTATTGGGACATTGGGTGGAAGGTGATTTAGGACCAGGAAACAATTTCTGGGCAATATTTTTTACAGTACTAGGGACGGTACTGTTAGATTTCGATGCAGACGCTTGTCAGAGTCCAGCAAGAGCTTATCTTTTAGACATTTGCGTACCAGGTAGGTAATTATGGATAAAAAAAATGGTTTTTAAGTAAATGACTCAAACATTATAAAATGTGCACAGAGGATCACGCCAAAGGTCTAAGCACGTTTACGATAATGGCTGGTCTGGGAGGATGTATCGGTTATCTTTTAGGTGGAATTGATTGGGACTCGTTGAAATTTGGTAAAACATTTTTTTTTTACTAAATATTTTAATTTTTGAAAAACCTCATACATAATATTTAGGAGAATTGATGGGTGGCCACGTAAGAGCAGTGTTCACATTAGTCACTTTTCTTTTTATTGGTTGCGTCACTTATACTATAAGCAGTTTCAAAGAGATGCCATTAAAATTATTACAGTCAAATCAAACGAGAATATTGATCACTGCAGCTGATGAAGTTAGCAAAATAAATAACTGCAGAAAAAATAACTGAATTAAATCATGATTAAAATGTCATAGGATATTGATGTAGAAAATAAACTCACTGAATACGCACCAAAGTCGTACGGTACTTTAAAAGATGAAGTTAATGAAAATGAAATCGAGAATAACGAACCACGTCTTATACCAGTAAGCTTACTATAGTATAGTTAATACTAACCACAACCCGATGTTTTATTATTTACCCATAACAATGATATGATATTATTGATATTATTTTTCATAATGATATATTTTACAGGAACATGCGACGTTTGGCCACTACTTGAAGACTATAATCGTTATGCCCAAATCTATTAAGTTATTGTGTCTGACAAATTTGTTCTGTTGGATGGCCCATGTTTGCTATTCGTTATACTTCACGGATTATGTGGGCGAAGCTGTATTCGGAGGCGATCCCACGGTGGGTTTATATAGTTTTGAAAATAATGTACAAGCCACATATTGGTTTACTGATAACACAATATCACCGTGGCCCATACTACAATGGTCATGTGCATAAACTGCAGAAAATATAGGTAATTAAAAATTATGTTTAGGCTTTAGTGGGAACCGAAAAGAAAATTCTCTACGAACAAGGCGTGCGATTTGGATCGGTCGGGATGGCGATGTACTCGTTGTCGTGTGCGTGTTATTCGAGCGTAATCGAAAGACTCATAAAACGATTTGGGTAAGCACTAAAACGACCACGTGGTGTCTACAACGTGTTATTTATATTGTTTTGACACTGTGTCAAGTTGAACTGTTCAGTGGCGAAGGAGAAATATGAGACAACGTATCCCCACTTAGAAATTTGAACACAGGAAAAATAATTTTGTTTTATAAGATATTTACAAATTTGAAAGTTATTTATGTTATAGGTAATATGATGCATGTTTCAATATTTGTTAAAATCGGGTTTTCGTTGTACCGGTAAATATAGAATTCTTAAAATAGATTAGATGCGCGCGATACGGCAGTGCGTACGATCTGGCGATGAGGGTCATTCCATAAATGGTATTATATCAAAAAGACGTTGCGATGTATCGTCTCCCAATTAAGGGCGCAGGGGTACAGGGGAAATTTTAATGTGAGTGGGGTTTACTATCTACTCTATGAGACGTGTCTCGAAGTTCATATTAAACATAGAGTAATAATAAATTGTATTACCTCAATTCTCAACTATCAACGACGCCGTGTTAGTGCCATTTTTATTTCAATGTCTCTCCAACCAAAAACTCTCGCCTCGCCACTGTTTGACAGCATTAATGTTTTTTGTCGGACAGGGCCAAACGAGTGTACGTCGGAGGTCTGCTGTTTTATTCTACCGGTATGTTTCTAATGGCCATCACACGACACAAGTTCAGCGTGATATTCTTCTCCTGGGCGGCCGGTGTAATGTACTCTACGATGTTCACGATGCCGTATTTGCTTATCGCCCATTATCACTCAACCAACACGGTTAGTATTAGATTATGTCGTGTTCCTGGGACGTTCTCGGGGTGCAAGTTTGATTTTTGATTTTTTTTTTCAAGTTTGCCGACAATGTCTGTGGTCAAGAACCAGATGATCAAATCAGAGGTTTGGGCACGGATGTAGCAGTGGTCAGCTCCATGGTATTCGTGGCTCAGTTTATTCTGTCCATGTGCATGGGGACAATTGTCAGCATATCCGGGACGACTTCGGCCGTCGTTTACACTGCATCGTTTTTAGCGTTTTGTGCTTCGATAGTCGCTTCGCAAATCGTGTATTTAGACCTATAAAACCAAGAACATCAAAATCCCAAGAAAATATGTTAACATATTCCATTTTCTCACTCGTTACATATTTTGCTTCATTAACATATAACCATATAATAATATTATCAACAAAATAATCATTTTTATTCCATTTAATATGTACCACTATAAATTTAAATTTATATAATTACTTCAATGGTATATCAAAAATCCATATCTAAATAAAATATCACATAGGCACCTAACTATTGTTGTTTATTTATAATTATTGTACTTTACGAAATTAATTTCTTTAAATGTATAACCCGTAAAATACAATACCTACCTACTACTTACATATTGTTAAAATATTAAACTTAAAGACAACGATAAATTACATATTATTATGTTGTTATAATTTTATTGAATAAGTTCTCAAGACTTTCATTAAAAAAGGTTATTGTCATATTACTTCTCTAATTTTTTACACATGAACATTTTAAATTGTCAGGATTAAAATTAATTATTTGACGGTCGTTTTTTGCTAGTATCATAAATGAAATATCTACTATTTTATACAAGATTTAAGTTAAGACTTAAGAACTATATGTCTATATCTATTCAGAATTTCCAAAGTTTAACTAAATTTCATACATTTACTCAATTGTTAAATAAATTATATAATTTTATTCAACATGCTTATTTAATTTAACGCCGATTTTTTTTTTAAGCAACAATACAATATTACTTACAATTTATATTTTATATATGCACTTATTTAACATGTGAACTGTATTCATTTTAATCGTTGAATTATTAATTATAGGTATGTTTTATAATATTTGGACAATTACCTATACTGACATAATAATTGCATTATTATATTATATTTATCAAATAAATCATAAACATGAAATAGTTAGGTATATATTATAATAAAAAAAAAGGTTCTCAACCATTATTTTCACATACGACTATATCGTAGTGTATTAAATTCTCAAAGCTCATTATGTGTGACATTCTGACATTTAATTATACTTATGTAGCTATATGGGTAGTTACATGCGTTCTAATTTAGATGGTCTAAATAACTATAAAAACTACCTATTATAATCGTATTATTTTAATCACGTAGTTTAATTTTTCCGGTTGTTGGACACTTGTAGAGTGTTAACGCATTGTCTTAGATGCATTCAAACTGGACAGTCGATTTTAAAAATATGTTCTTTATACTGTACATCATATTAGCAACTCACTGCCACGCAGATGACATATTCCCCGAAGCTTTGGTGTTTGAAGGATTAGGTTTATCTGACATTGTCAATAATTCAAAATCCGGCGAACTTAGTAACAACACCATAATAATTGCAGGAGATTTAAATGACGCCTTGACAACCATGAATTTCCACAGGTATGTTTTTTATATAATATACCTACCGCTATCTCTAATCAAATAATATTTATATATATATATACATATTATATTATAATATAATATATTGCAATCGTAGTCTAGGGCCCGGATTTAAATGCACCAAAACCGCATCGACAAATACTCTAAAAATAGCCAAACATGCATTTAACCACAATAATTCCCTTAAAATAATGGATATTATAATGAAATTATGTATGAATATATATAATTAATAATTATACATGATAATACTTCATGGAAACTTACATGATATGTAGGAATTCAATAATCGCATAATAATAATATTATAGTACCTATACAAAATAGAATAGTTAATATATGATATCAGTGGCGTACCTATTTACGATTTTGGCGCCCTAGTTAGGTACACACAATTTGGCGCCCCTTTTTTTCTCAGTTTCCTTTTATTCATTGTCACAAAAAACTTTTAAGCCTCCTCTAATTTACAATTTACTTTTTCTCTCAGTTAATAGTGCAGGGCTTGAAAATAGTATAAACCGTTATAAAACCGAAACCGAAAAAAATTGGAAACCGGTATTAAATTCAATACCGACTCGAAAAAAATTGGATACCTGTTTATAATTAAAAACAGAAAATATAATTTAAAAAACGGTATTTTTTTTTGAAAATCTTTATATCTTGTCATTTTTGAAAGTTTACTTTACAGACCAAGCGATCGGACGATCAAAAAAAATTAATAAACTAAGAATGAACGTAAATAGTACAGGTTTTGAAACCGATTTTAGAAACCGGTATAAACCGTTTAAAAACTGAAACCGATAATAAAATCAAAAACAAAATCGGAAAAAATTGGAAATCAGTATTAAATCCAAAACCGAAACCAAAAAAAATTGGAAACCAGTGTGTACACATCGAAACCAAAACAGAAAATTTTTCAATCGGTTTCAAGCCATGTAAAAGTGATAACCCCCAACCACCCCCCCCCCCAATTTGCTCCTATGACCGACATGGATCTTAATTCTTAAACCCTAGTTATACCGATACCTATAGCCTAAATGTAATTAAATTTATTAATATAATTCGATGGATGTACCTACTACAATTTCTTCTAGAACAAAAATAAATGACTATCTTTGTCGAAAATACGTAGTTGAAGAAATATTACAAGATATTACGGACAGTACGTCATCTGAAGGCCGATCGATGTCTCAAGACAGTCATATGAGGAGTAAAACGTCTGTAATGCAAACCGATCAAGGCTCATCTGCTTACAATGCATGGCTGATCAAGTATACATTTAAAATATAAACTATAATTTATTTTATAAGTATAATGGATTAAAATATGTCTTTCGTGTTAATTTTTAGAACAAAATTATTGAAAAAAATGTATGACGAATACGATTTAAGCGTTAGAATGCATGAAAAACCCGTCGGATTTACACTAAACAATAAAAATAATGAAAGTAATTACACATATAGGTACCGTTCTAAAAATGTAACGCAGTACATTTTATAATATTATTATGTTTAGGCCTAGGAACACATGACTACGATACCATGAAGAACGTAGATGACATAAAAGATTTGAAAGAAGTTTATCACCCAAACGAAGGTAAAATACCGTAAATAATATGAGAACGTAATGACTAATGTAAAATGTTAGTTGTAGAGTGAATAAGTAGGTAATTAAAACGATTATAATTACTTTGTAATTTGAACAAGTAAAATAAAGTATATATTTAATAATAAGGTAGGTACCTATTTTATCAATGACAGATCAATTACTTAATAGGAAAATACAAAATTTCCCATGGTTTAGATTCATTTGCTAGCCCCAATGATACAGTCACAGTGGACTTCGCACCAAGTCAATCTATACACTACGATATTGATAATGAAAAAGAGTACAAACGACCAAATCAACCGCACCCTGGTACTGCTGATTTCAACCCTACACAGTCTACTAAAATACCTCAGTCAGCACACGAACCATATTTCCCACGACCACCACATGAACCACCATCACTTCCAACTTACTATGGACCTCCACCATTGTCAAATGAAAAACCTTCATACCCGTCTGATTATGGAATGCCATCATTGCAGTCGTCATATGGACAACCACCACCAACATCACATGAACAACCTCAGTCATCATATGGACCACCGTCGTCGTACGGTCATTCTTTTATGCCTACTTCAAATTACCATCCATCAAATTATCCATATCTTGGATTGATTCCGCCAAATAAGAATACAGGTGAATACCTACTATCGGTGTACAATGCATGTATTAACTTTAAACAGTTAAAAGTTTAAAAATTGATCTGAGATTAGAAAGTAAAGTAGGTAGTCAACCTAATACCTAAACATACCATTTTAGACATAAATATATACTTACAACACATAATTTTATACACACAATACAAAGAGTGAATAATACGTAGATAGTTTTGTTTTGTATAAATAATAAAATGTAGCCTATCGTTTTCTTTAACAACTAATAACTAATAAATATTTCTCTAACTTCCCTAATTAACAAAATTACACTTCCCATTTTGTCCACTCTACAATATCCTTTTCCGATTTACCTTATCACTTTTATACATGATATGCATTTTATGTTTCTTCTTGTAATAGTTGAGATATAATAATTTATAAATTAAAATCTCATTAGTAAAAATAAAAAAAATAAAAAAATAAAAAAAATTTATATATATAAATAAAAAAAACTGCAATCCCTTTTTTAATGAAAAGTGGGAATTGTAAGTTGTTAAAAATATGACAAGAATTTCTAAGATTATCTTTTCGTATTTCTGCCATATATTTTTTTTAGTGCCTTGCAACCCAATCGGCAATCACTGACACTATTTCAAGTTAATAATTTTATATTGTTATCCGCAATTCACATTAAAAATCAGCAAAATATTTTATAATTAATTGTATAGAAAGAGTCCATATCGTGTATTGGTGTCATATGACATATACACATCTACATTTCTAAAGATAGGTAGGTGCTTCATTATTTTTATATAAATGCATATTGTACACGTAGTATGTTAACATTTAAAATGAAAAAAAAATACCTAATATTAAAATGCGTAAAATTTTAATAAAGGTCACAATCTTCCGACCCGAGATATTGAAACATTAAGTCAATCGGATAACGGTGTACATAATTCTGATAAAGAACCATTATTTATACGAGGACTTACCGCAACAGATATGTACGATCTTACTTTAACAGCCATTGCATTCTTGGGGTTCGGTACATTTGTCATGAATCTAGTCATGGACGCCATGGCGGTAAGTTCGTAACGGCTTTTCATGCAAACGAAACCCAGATAATATAAATTATATAATATTGGAAATCGTAATACGTCATGATGATATAAGTCATGATAATATAAGCATTCGACAAGCCCCCGTGAGAATTTCTCGTTGTTATTTCAGGTACAATCAGGAGCAACACTAACTCTAAACTCGTCGCCATTACATCACGGAGCCACTGTGTCTAGAGTCAGAAGACATAATAACCACAATAACCCCGTAATTTGGGAAATAAACGAGTTGTCATGGACCATAGTATCGACGCTGGACAATATGATGGCAAACGTGGACGGGACCTCTGTGAATTGTGAAGAAGTCAAAACATTGTGCCAAAGATCCAAAAGACTAGTAAAAACCGGTATAAACTTCAGCTCAAAATTATTGCCCGTTTGGAAGTGAGTTGAAATTAAGTATTGAATATAAGCTTCATATTGGTGTTTGTTTGTGGTATGAATAGTAATTACAAAAATGTTTGTTTTCAGTGTTGCTTTAGGATGGCTTTCGAAGAAATTAGGTACGGATAAAAGCCAGCCAGTGATATCTGCATTATTAGGTCATTGCATTTTGCCTTCACAATGTCAATCAAATTCATGATTTTATCATCTAAGTGAACATTACAATAAATAAATACATATGTTAATTTATTGGTCTATTTTTTCTTTTAAATTATACTGTACTAATCTAATATCAACAAATTAAAAAAAACTGACCAAAGCATTCTTTAGTTTAATACAATATACTAAGTACAAACTATAAAAACATAGTTTGTAAATTTGTAATAATCTTAATTATTACTTAAACTTCTGAATTATTGTCTTTAATGATACAAAGAATATAGTAGGTATATTGGATTGTATATTCGTTAATTTGTATCATACTGTCAATTATATCATAAACAATTAAGATATTATTTTTAATTTAAATCAGATTTAAAAAATGATATATTACATATATACTTAACACAATGATGTAAAGATTTACCCATTTATAGCACTTTGTAAAAGTAATTTTTCGGTATTCTTAAGTTTCTGTAACTATGTTTAGACGTAAGTAAAAACTACTGGCATGAGACAATTGTAAAACACATTTGAATCTATCCTAGCTTGGTGGCATAGTTTTGAAAAAATATCAGCTAATATTGTTTTTATAGATTTCTGCTCAGTCATGTTTTTAAATATGATAATCTATCGTTACATTCAAATTTAATAACAGCACTATTTTTCAATTATTATTTATTATAGTCTATTATCCATGAAATTTCTAATAATGCAAATTAAAATTAAGTTTGGTAAGGTTTATTTGGTAACATATAAGTTTTAATTGCCACTTATAAATTAAATGCTACTTAAAAATACATACAATTTAATAAATTATTAAGAGTCACATAAAAATTTAGCATGGTGATGATAATGCTGTTCTATAAAAGTTGAAATGAAATAAAAACCATGGTCATATCCTTCTTCTATATTTATTGAAGCTGCAATTCCTGCCTTTTTACAAGCGCTTATAAAACTTTCCAATCTTAAATCATCTTTATAAGCATCATTATATCCCTACAAAAATATATATACATACATTCAAATTAATCGTACATTACACTATTATAGTATGGCAATAATATTGTTTAAAAAATAAATTAAGACATTTTTAACATAATATTTGATTTAACTATACTTGATGTATGAGAATATTTAACTCTGGTCCTTTATAATCAGCTACTAAGCAGGTAGAATCCCATTTCTCCATTGTTTTGTTATCATCTCCAAAATAACACTTTAATATGAATCGTTCATCAGGTGATTGAGATGGATTACAAACCGGAGCTAATGCTGAGACTGAACGAAACTTTCCAGGATTTTTAAGTGCACTTATTAATGCACCATGACCTCCCATACTAAAATATTATTGTTATTATTAATTAGTACAGTGGAATACATAAAATTATAAAATGTAAATCTATGAATTTAAAATATAAAAGGTACTAATATTGATTACTGATAAATAGGTATATTTATATATTATTATAAATATCCAAATTATTAATGTTTAAAATTAACTGATCTTAATCGTCTTGGTTTAAAGTCACTTTAAATACGTTAAGCTGTATTATTAATAACAATATAATATGTCTAATTTCCTTTTTTACAATAATGCATAATACATAAACATAATTTATTTATTTAATATTTATAAATATACCTGTGACCCATGATTGACTGCTTGTCTTTGTTGACATTAAAATTCTCTTGAATAATACTAGGTAGCTCTTCATTAACATATGAATACATTTGGAAATTTTTGCTCCATGGTTTTTTCACGGCATTTACATAATATGACTGGCCATTAGCTTCAATTGTATTATTCTCAACACCTAAATTAACTCCTGAAAACACAAGTCAATGTTTGTGACAAATGTTTATTATTACAAAATAAATTATATATCCTTACTAGGGCAGACATCTGGTGACACTACGATTATTCCATAATGTGCTGCCCATCGTTGAAACCCTGACTTCTGTATAAATGTTTGTTCGGAACATAACATCCCACCCAAATGATATAAGACTGGAGCAGGTCTTTCCAAATTTTCTGGTACATACACAGCAAATCTCATTCGGAAATTTAACACTGCACTAAAAATAATAAAAGTGTATTACATTTAATAAAACAAGTAATAACTAAAAAACAACTTATAAATTAACATTGATTCTATTTTAAAGTAACATTGATAATAAATCAAAAAGGGACCAAGAATTAGTATGAGTAACACAGAGATCATTGTGTATGATGTGCATAGCAATACAAGGCATGTGATTAAGATGATTTAGTGAGTGATGTAAAGGGTTTAAGGCCTTATAATTGTTATAAGTTACAACTACCTATGTATTATTGTTACTCAAGTTTTTATTGAACATACTATTCATTGTTATGTTTTATTTCACACAGTGACATTTTCAAAACATTAGATTAAATTTAATCTATTTATACCACAAACAAATTACAAAGATCTATAAGGTACCTATGCCACATAGATCCCTTGAAATATATTAAATACTACCTGTGTCGCCAGCATTTTCCTTGCCAAAGATTTGTTTTTCATAAATATTTTAAGGTATAAGGATTGAAAAACTTAACTCTCTTAGGAAACTATAGGTAGAACTTTTATTGAAAACAGTCCAGTAGTTTTTAAGTCTATTACATCAGATAAACCAACAAGGGTTAAAAATACAGTGACCAAATAATATCAAAATTATTATATCCGATTAATTATATTGTATTTAAATGTAACCTATGGTATCCATTTACACAGAAAAAAAATAATTATTTCTACAAGGTAATTTGCTACTATTACTATATTATAATATTATGTATTTTATAGCAACCATTTATATACCAATAAACTTTTCTCAAAGAAAAAGGCCTTATAGTTTTTCCCGAATATTCCAACTTTTCTTACCGTAAAAACCTCATTCTGAAATTTCTGGCAACACGATTCATTAGTCATTATTATTTACTATTAACAGAGTTCAATTGTGTGTAAGAATTAGACTACCTAATATATTTTTAATAAAAATCACAATTTTGGGAAGTGTCAAAGTAGACAAATCACCAAATTTTACATGAAAAGACACAGTTACTTGTTGTTTTCTCCAATGTCCCTTCTCATTTAGCTCGAAACTGGATTAAAATATTACATAATTTTTTATGCATGTAATTTCTAAAAAAATTACATACTTTGAAATTCGTTCATCATATGTTTCGCCATTTTTAAAATCTTATTCCAAGTATAATTTGACTTCATTTGGATCCAAGTCATTTTCCTATGTTAGATTAATTATTCGTGTAATCGATTACAAGGTCTACTGTTTGAATTTTTCTTCACCTATTAACAAATTAAAAAAAAAAAGATATATTACAATATTATGTTATGAACCCGATTATGAATAAAATTACAAATACTGAAATACCTATAGTTATGTCTTTATAATTAAAAGTTTAAAAAGGTAAAGGTTTACACCATGACTAACTAAAATAAAAATGACATCCAACAATAGTTATATTATGAAATCTTTCTCTTGCATTTATATGAATTGAAATTTCGAAAACAATGAACAAAGTTTTTAGCTTTAAATATTTGTTAAAACTGACATGTTAACAAAACTGAACCACAGAATAGATGAAATTTGTGACTGAACTCACATAAACATGGGGAATTAATAAGGATCCGCAAAATGAAAAAATTTAAATACCTCTGGTCTAAGCTGTTATTATTTGGTAATTTTCCTTTAATATAATATAGATACGTACGTAGTATACGACCAATTCAAGACCTCAGTACCGGGACAGAGTTCTATTATTTTTGATAATAGCAATTTGCTATAAAAATGATTTTATTAAAATGTAATATACCATATAGTTTTTCAATATTTTATAGTATTTTAAATAAACTTATTTTGTAAAATAGCTTTAAATGGTATAAAAATTGTTTCAGTGAAAACGTGATGAATATTTCATTCATTTATGGTAACGAGTATTGGTGAAAAAGGGCAAGTTACACTCTAAGTGGAAAAAAGGTACACTTTTTAACTTTGGTGGAAACTGGTACCACCCTGTGCATGTAGAATGTACCTAAGGATGATACACTTTTCTGCCAAAATCAAACTTTCCGTTTTCCACCAGTATAATAATATATATATTTGTTATTTCTAATTTTCGCCAAACAACAAATTTCAGTTTTAAGAGGACGCTACACCCGCATGTGTTGTCTCCGTCTTACAAATGTACAACATAGCAAAAACTCTTTTGCGCGGGAAAGAACCGAGAAGGCTACAGTCATAACTAAGAAACGAAATTTTCACCACACAAAAAGGAGAACTTTGGCTGTGCAACGTCGTTTTTATTTTTTTGATATCATTTATATGAAAAAAGTTCTTACTGTTTCAAAAACCATTATTGTTTGTGTTATCCAAACTTAAAAAACTTTTTTCATATAAATGATATCAAAAAAATAAAAACGACGTTGCACAGCCAAAGTTCTCCTTTTTGTGTGGTGAAAATGTTGTTTCTTAGTTATAACTGTAGCCTTCTCGGTTCTTTCCCGCGCAAAACAGTTTTTGCTATGTTGTACATTTGTAAGACGGAGACAACACATGCGGGTGTAGCGTCCTCTTAAGATTTTGGTAACTCCTTGTTATGAAAAATATACAGTTTATTGATAATTGGCAACTAATAGTTGTGTTTTTCACCAACAACCAGCCTATTGGGCAGCTCTGACGGGGCTACAGGGGCAAAAGCACATCTTGACCACCTCAAATGATGCAAGTGCAGTATTGCGAGGTACTACCGACCTGTAATGTTCATAGACCTGTTGCTGTCCGCCGAAACAGCGGTTGACCGACACTACCTTCAATTGCTGCTCGGTGTTATTGGACCACTGACGTGACCCACACAATCGTTGGAAATCCTGGTCCTGGTGCGGTCGAGTGAATCGCTGCTGGAATTTGACTGTGTGAACTGCTCGACCCGCTGACGGGCAGACCACGGACAACCGATATCCACACCGGAACATGGACATATTATAACATAATTTACCGCGCATATCGATTTTTTCGTTGGGTAGCGTTGTTCTCACAGATATAATATTATAAAAACATATGAAGTACCTACACGTATAATATTATAATATATTTTAAAATAATTTGTTTAATTTATAATATATTATACTATGTTCTCGTATCCTGTACCCACGACTGTCTACCCGTAGGCCATGAACCACCGACTACCGAGATAGATAGTATCACGAACTCGGAACCACGAATAAAAATATTATACTGGATACCCAACGATACATGATATTATGATAAGGCGCTCCTAAACTGACTTTCAATGTGCAAAGGTGCACTAGCGCTCCAAGGGAATTAAATGTATACTAATGGATTGACTATTTAAAATTTAAAATATTATGCATAAAGCATAAATCATGGCAAAATAACAAATAATATGATGATTTTTTCGAATGATTAATTTAAAACATTCAAGCATTTCCTTATTACTGACTACTGTAATCTGCAATATAATAATTAATAGGTACCATTCTAATTATTCAATATTCTACTATGACAAAATAGATTAATAAAGTGTTAAGTGGAAGGTAAGTAGTATTAACTAAAAGCATAGAACATATAATTTTACATATTTATTAATATAGATACCCAATACAAATTGCATAAAATACTTACAAAATTATTAACTACATACCTATACAGTTGAAACTTCAATTAAATTAGTCAACAAATCATGTTTTAACTAATTTGGATAATTTTTTTTTTTGTTTTACTTTGTTTTTTTGAGTTTTGATTCATCAAGTAAGAATAGGTACTGCCTCATTCTCATAGGTATATAATATGAAAAAAATATTTGTTAATATATCAGCTTGATGTTCTAGCAAGGAAACTTTAAGCCAATATTCAAGCTAAAAAATTCATTATATTTATTATGTATCTTCAAACACATCACAAGAAGTGGCATGTTTTGAAAAACATGTTTCAAGATGTTTTAGTATTAAGTATAAATTTCGGTCTGGATGGGTTAGGTATCCTCTAGTTTTATTATTAAGTAAATCAGCTTCACTACCGACAGTTGAAGTATTTAAATTTTTTATACTTACTATACATAACTGGCACTTAGTACTCTTTACCAATCGTTTAGCAATGTACCTATTTGAAGTACGTAAATAAGGTAAATAATAGTGTTATTTAATTAATGCTATTACCTAATTCATAAAATATTTTACCCAGCCATAAAATAAACAACACAGTCAAAAACTGTAGAGTCTGCGTAATCATTCTCCAACAGAATATCGTCCAGATCCCAGCAATTGTCTTCAATAATCTTATTAATTTTTTCTTTCAGTATATCAATTTTTTTTGCACGTTCTGAAACGTTTTCTGGATCATTTATTATTTCTTTCAAATCTTTAATTGATAATACAGGAATTGTATCTATTAACAGTATAAAATATATAAAAACATTTTTATTCAGCAATATTTATTTTGAGAAATATTAATTATAATATAAAATATATTATTTTTGTTAAAACATTTAATTTTTCACCTTCAAATACTGTGCAATTTCCTGTTTTAGGGGGTTTTATAACAGCATAAACTGAAAGCATGCGGTATAATTGAAGAAAAGTTGGTGTTGTGGGGATGGTCATTACTCATTAGGACCTGACACTTGTCTAATAATTCCAAAAAACTTCTGAAAATTATAAAATATAATAATCATCATTATATTTTTATAGTAAAAAAGGTGGGTAAGTGGATGTCGCTCTGCTGTACAGTAGGTCACAAGTGGGTCACTGTATAATGGATGCTATTAAATTTGAATTCAATGATTCAATATCATTGTATAAGAAAAACGATTCTGAGCGAAGACGGTATGTCAGTCTAGGTTTAAGACAAATTATATACATATCTATGGTATTAAAAAAAAAATTTACCTTTAATAAATTCCAAATTAATCATATCACATTATCACAATATCCATTAAGTACTTATAACACGTTATACATCAACATCAATAACAAACCCTGATACTATCATAGATATATAATAATACACTTTAGAAGTTTCAAGTAGGTACCCCGTACCCACGAATAATATTATATAATCACAACAAAATAACTAGGTTTTTTAATATGAAATTTCGTCCAAATTTGAACATAAAATGACTATAAAAATAAACTGTGATTGTATATTTTTTAGATTTTTCGGTAAGAGAATTAACTACTTACGTAGAATCTTGTTTTAAATTTTCAATCCTTAGCTATAAAAACTGAACATTTTATAATTTATTAATTACGATGATTAATAATTTTCGAGATTTTGAAAAATTCTGTCAAAATTCGATTTTAAAATGCTTATAAAAAAAAATTGTGCCTATGTATTTTTAATATTTTTCAACTGATATTGTAACAATATATCAGGAGCCTTGTATTAAATTTTTACACTTTTTGGCCCAACAGATAAAACTTAATTGATATTTATAGAAAAAAAAAACTAAAAAAATTGAAAACTGAAAATGTCCGTAAACGGCTCAAAAAGAGTCAAAATATTTTCAAAATTGTATGGTGTATAGGAAACGCTAATATAAACATTCAGTGAAATTTTCATGTATCTACAGTAATTCGTTTTTTAATTACAACAAAAAAAGGAAATTGCCACATGAGAAATCGAGTGAATATCCAATGTTGTAAAAATTTGAATTTCAAACGCTCATAAAAATTTAATTTGACTTTCCAGTAGAGATTTTTTTATTGATAAAGGTAGACAATCTTATGAGTAATCTTGTATTAGATTTTCAAATCTTAGATTTAAAAAGAAAAATTTTTACAAATTCTTAACTCAAAATAATTTGCTAATTTTCGTGATTTTTCCATATTTTGTCAATTTTTGAACTTTAAATGCTTATAAATAAAAATTGTGACTAAGGATTTTTAATATTTTTCATCTGCCTTTGAAACAATATATTAGGAGCCTTCTATTAAATTTTCAAGCTTTCGCAACCAACAAATAAAATTTTATTGATATTTCTAGAAAAAAAACTAAAAAAAAACGAAAAATGAAAATGTCCCTAAACTGTTCAAAATAAATCAAAATATTTTGAAAATGTTATCGTGTATAGAAGATGCAAATATAAACAACCAGTGAAAATTTCATGTATCTACGGTCATTTGTTTTAAAGTTACACCAAAAACCAGAATCGATTTTTTGGAAAACCGATTTTGCGTAAAAATTCCCGTTTTTCCTTAATTTTTATGTTGTTTTTCCCGGCGCTCTTGAAAACTACTGGGAAATTTAAATTTTGACCTCCCCAATGCACCAACGATATTCACTTTCCAATCGAACAAGATACTGAAGTCGAAAATCGAAGCATTATTTCGACTACTTATCGTGTACACAGACACAAAAAAAATAAAAAATAAAAAATAAAAAAAAAAACACACATCATTGTAAAATCAATACATTCATCGTTTCACTCAGAATCTAAAATAAAAAATATATTTCTCGAAAGAGGTGATAAAATAATTTAGGTAATTACTTCTAGTGAGTCTTGATTAAATTTTGCAGTTTAGACATAACTAAAAGCACATTCATTTAAAAGATATTCTACCAATTGTATAGTTGAAGTTAAGGTGATCCTTAGCCCTTCACTAGTTGATCAGACTTGATCTAGTTAAGAACTCACTTTCTTTAATTAGTCCTTTTTCCAAATTTGATTCCCATTCATTCAACCAGTGTATAGCATTATTTAATATCTAAAACAAAACTCAGATTAATTTTTGATCTCACTTTACATTTATGAACACATACAAATTAAATTATAACATTAAACTAAATAAAATCAACACAATATTAATTATACACTATCAACAAACATGCATCACAAACACACACACAAACATTAAAAACCTCCAAATCATGACTATTTTTTTAATTCCTTCAGCTGTATGTCTCCTATTTAGTGCATCAAACATTTCGTTCATTGTTTTAGTAAATGCTGCAATCTCTTCAGATCCCTTAAAACAGTCATATTTCTTATTCCTATATAGTTCAATACCTACTGCCATCGATTTGCTAAATACCTGATGAACATTATTAATAAATGTAATAAATAGTTGTAGGTCAACGTTATTTATTACCTACCTGAACTGCATATTATTTAACCTTCATCTTCGAGAGATTATTTAATTCAAAGTGATGTTTAGTCAGTTTCGGGCATACTTTTACAATATTGTTACTTTAAATTTTAAATAAATTTGTATAATACTCCCATTTAATTTATGGCTTAAATGGATCCAACTATAGGAAGTACGAAACAAAAATAATAAATTTAATTAGAATACATAATATACATATTATATTAAAATCTATTGAACAGTTTTAATTTACTCTTAATTCTTTATTTGTGAATAATCGATTTCGAATAGTTTTCATCAAATGAGGCACATCAGAAAACACATAAACTTTTCTTGCTGAATCATAAGGATTTTCAAAAAAATTACAAAAGTTGTTTTTTTTTCCTGATACCTATTCAAATGTCAAATAAATTAAATCATACTCAATAGTATCAATATACAGTATCAATTTTAAAATATAGTCATTAATAAATCACCCCTAGAATAGGTTAAGTACCACCTAGATCCCGCGACAAGTAGATCCCCGTACGTCAACTGGATCCCCTTGGACATTTAGAACCTCATAGACATATAGATCCCATACTATATAACTATAATATCCTTCGTCATTTAAATACCCAGATTTTGGCGGTAATTTTAAAACTTATAAAAATACGTAAATACTAATAAATAGGTATAGTTTAATTTATTCAACTATAAAATAGCATTTATAAGTTAAAAATATTTATAAAATATAAACTATAGGAGTAAAGGTGCGCACACACTGCTGCGGTAATGCGGTACGATATATCTGACACACATATAAGAAATTTTGAGGTTTATACCCTCTCAATTTATTTTCAAAAATATTTTTTTTCCGACAGCTATGTAAAATTAATATGAATATTTTTGTTATAAAC